TCTGGTACATATTTAAATATTAATTATCAGATGTCTGAATACCTTCAGCTTTCATAACCCATTATAATTTTTGTTCTTTTTTTTTTTTTTTGCTTATGCTATGTTAGTTTCGTCATTTTCAAATATCGCTTTTTACCTGAGAAATTCTTGTTATCGTTACATTTTATTAATTAAATATAAAATCCGCTATGTCACGCACATTTTAGTAAACCACCCTCATCCATTCATTATTTCTCTGGTGAGATGTAAATCCCAACCAAGAAGCTTCTTCCCACGAACAACTGTCTTGTGGAACCGATTGTCGAGTCATTGCTTCCCCGATCACTACAATCTTAGCCTGTTTAACTCTAAAATACCAACCATCAATTAAAGTTACACCACTACTAACTATGAGTATATCATACCCAAGTTTGAAAATATAAAAAAATATTAACTATAAATCTTTATTTGAAATATTTTACATGCAGGCACTTCATGCTTTGTACTTTGTGTTAACATTAACTGCACCCGAATTCGCAAGTATTTCCACCCAATAGGCGCTAGAATAATTCAATTTTAAATGTATATTGATGATAGAAAACTAGAAATACTTACCGTTTTAACCCTAGACACTAATCATCAATTAAAGTTACACCACTACTAACCATGGGTATATCATACTCGATTTTGAAAATATCAAAAAAAGAATATTAAATATAAATCTTTATTTGAAATATTTTACATGCTTTGTACTTTGAGTTAACATTAATAGGAACATATTATTTTAAGTAAGAAAATCAGGTACTGAAAAATGTAATTAAAAATAAAAAAAAATGCGCTGGGTACTATGTACCTATGGTTACGTCTCTTGGGTTAAGTTAACCGTTATCTTCCATCCTTATTTGCATAAATTGTACCTCTTACTCAGTAACACTCTACCTCGAGTCGCATCCAGGCCTTGTACAGGATGAACAATACTGTAAAAACTATTTCATTTCCCCAAATTTGTATAAGAGTTTACTGATGTTAAATTTTTATACCTTGAGTATATGTAGTTGATTTTTCCAGTTTATGTGAGATGGTACTTTTTGTGTTATTAGCCAGGTTTTATCGGATTTCTAGTCTTTTTATATCTTCTTTTGTGTCTCTTTTGGACTTAGACGATCAAAGCCCAAAATAACGTTTAACGCTCTTTTGTTCTTCATAAGATTTCTCTTTTTGCTCTCTCGTCTGTTCTGCCAACTATTTACAAAATCACATCAGGGAAGTTATCCATTGCTTTCTTCTGTAACTTTTGACTTCACTATGTCCTGTAAGTCTCAAATTTTCCAATCCTTCTTTCCTCATTATCTTTCCTAGAAATTAAAATTGTCTATTTCTAATCTTATGTATAAGTGTTCATTTGTTTTTCTTTAAAGACATTTTTTATGTTTAACATTATTTTTATAGATAAAAAGTATTTAAGTAAATGCTTTGTTTATAATAAACAGTATTAAATAACATTTACCAGTCTGAATGTCCGAGAAATTTTCATAATATTCAGTGCTATATAGGAGGTGTGATATTACATAACAGTTCAGCCCTCTTTTCTCAAGATCTAACGAAATTTTCCTGTTTTTTAGGGGTTTTTTTTTATTTTTTTTAATACTGCACTTATCTTTTGGAAGGCAACTTTCAATATTCCAATGGGTCTGATTTCAATGTTATATTTCTGTCTTTTAAAACGCTTCCATGATATTTAAATGTTCATACTTTCTTGATTTTATTGTCTCAAATTTGTAATAGGCATCTTCGGCTGTTTTTATTTATCATTAGGAGAATCATTTATTCGTGACTTTTTTATTGTTGTTACCATATTTTTTTTATTCTTTTAGGATTTCTAATTCTATAAGGTTCGTCTGACTATATAGATTCAATAATCCGGTAAGCAGATGCATCCTTGTCTTACATCCTTTCTATTCTTGTGTATTTACAGACGCCATTTTCTATCCATATGCAAGTGATTTCCTCCCAGTATATGTTCTAGATTATTCTAATATTTTCACCAACAAATCATGCTTACCTCGCAGTTCTTTGTGTCAGATTTTGTCAGACGCTTTTGAATAATTCATAAAACATAAGCAAACATATTTCTGCAATTGTATTGCTCTTTCTGAGACTAAATATTGCATTCCTTGTTCCAGTGTCTTTAACGAAACTGCAGGGTTCTTATGCTGTTTCTCGTTTAATTCCGCTGCGCGCTCTATTCATCATTAAAATGGAATTACTAAGGTTTTCCGGCGTACCCCTACTTTCATTTATTATTTCTGTAATTTTGTCAACACCAAAATCATCTAAGGATGCCAGCATCTCTATTACGATCCCATCTAGTCCAAGTGTTTTGTACCTGTTCAGCATTTCCACTGCTGATTTCGATTCATATTTTCATATTTCTGGTCTTTCCATATTTTTTTGTATTGTCGGTTTTCCTCTTTCCTTATGGAAAAGTTCTCCGATGTATTTGCTACACGTTTGTCTATTATCGGCGTTCGCTTTTTTTAATTTGATGCAGCCTGTCATTTGTCATTTGTCCTCCTTTGTTTCTTATTCTTTTATGTATATCTACCTTATGTATTATGTCCATTCTTTCTATTTCTACGCACTTTTCGTTGAGCCATCCTCCTTTTGGTTGCTTGTATTTTTTTCTAATTACTTTTTCTTATGCCCTATATTCTATACCACACCTTGGTATTGTTTGCTGTCTCCTTTTCTTCATGTCAAGTGATTCCTCTGTCATCCAAATTTTTTTATGTTATTATATATATTCTTATGCTTATAATATATATTAATATATCTTTAGCACACAGGCACACACACACACATATATATATATATATGTGTGTGTGTGTGTGTGTGTGTATGTGTGTGTGTGTGTGTGTGGCTGGGTGGGTGTGGGTGTGCACGAGCTCATGTGTGTGACTAGTTGTTTGTTTCTGAGTAGTCTTCTGCTTGAGTGGCTAGATAATTTCATTTGCAGGCACCAGTTCAGGCACACTTGTATTTATTGTCTATTATACTGAAACAATGTTGAGCAGAACTTAGTTGCAGTTTTCTGGAAAGTACACATAAGCTGCCGTGATCAGTATTTGAATGAAACTAGTACGCTAAATGTTTCGGTCACGATGGCTTTTGACTTCTTGCTCGCATAAACATCGAAGGCATCCATCCGCTTCGTCTCTCCAATTTCACTAAAAAGACTTGGTTACCCCTACATGGTATTGTTTTCAAGCATTTCTTAACAGTGATGCACATTGGGATCAGCTTCCCGAGTCGATAATTTCAAGATTTCAATGACATCATAACTCGAACATCGTAAAATTCAAATTCTGGTCGTATGGTCAAGAAGGTTAAAGTTCTAACCACTAAGTAGTCCTCATACACACGCACACACACACTCACACACGTGTGTGTCTATGTATTCTATTCCAATGTAACTGCAACGATTTATTCACCTTTACCTTTTTTTACAAGATCGTCTGCTTTTTGTACAACATCTCCCTTAAAAAGATCTACCGATTTTTCAGTTTTCAATTTCTGAAATTTGCTAGAGCTTTATTGGTCATTCTTTAAATTCGCAATTAATCCCCGACAGCGATGGGGCACCTGTTCTAGCTTTACGTTGATCCAAATCCTTATCTTTGAAGATTTAAACATGTTTAATTAGGCATTTTCTATTGAGGCATGATTTCTATTCAAATAAAATTATAGCGTCACTTTTTACTAAAACAATACGTTTAAAAGAATACAAAAGGTGACGTAAACTATTTTATATACTGTAGTATATTATTTTATATATTTTGGTTTGTATAGTATTTTATATATAGTGGTCACGAATGGTTAGAACGTTCGTATTCTGACCATGAGGCCTGGGATCGAATCTCACCATGGTCGAATTGTCAAAAAGGAGACTTCCTGATGTTCTCGGACTAAAGGGGTCGATCTCAGCGTGCGGAACCATTAGAAATTGAAAACCAAATCAAACTAGATAACACGCTCTTTCTCAGAAACTGTTTCATGTTAATTTAACACCGTTTTAATAAACAAAATATGCTTAAAAGATGCTAGCCACCCTAAACTGTCCTCGAAGATTAGTTATATCCAAAATATATATATATATATATATATATGAAAATATATAGAAAATAGGAAAGAACTTTAGGTAAACAATTTAATTTAATTTAATTTTAATAATAAATCTGCTTAAAAAAGATATTCAAGATTAGTTATTCCAAAAATTTCGCTTGAAGATTGAAACATGAGAACTTTATGTAGCCGAGGAATTTAATTTTAAATTATAAAGTTTTTAGCTCTTGTTTTTGAAACATAGAACTATATATATATAAATAATATATATATATATATATATATATATATATATATATATATATATATATATATATATATATATCGTTATTTTCTAAACAAAGTGGTGGATATTTTATTTATTATGCCGACAAATTTTTAGTACTTAAATGTTATTTTAGTGGTTACTCGGATTTGAGTAGAAATTCCGTTTATTTTTTTAACAGTATATTTATTTATTTATTTTCAACTACGGCATAAACATTCAAGAAAAAGTATGGGCTCAACGGTAGAATTCGAGCCTGTGTTTCCCTAGGGAAAACCTTCATTAGATCTGACGTACTTCGGACCTCACGGTTATTGAGTGCGTCTATGTCTAAGCACTATTAAAGGCATTATTCAAATTTGCTCTAATGACGATTTCCCCCAGGGTAACGCAGATTTATTCTAAATAAAGGTTGCAAGCTCTATAGTGATTTACTAAGCGCAATTTTTATAATTGATCTAAAGACATAATCTTTCTAACCATTACACAAACACCGAATTGCACAATGGCTCAAGTTGTGTATGTATAAATATTTATGTAAGCATCAGTTTAATCGTAAAATATTTTACATTTTCTGTTATCTATGTTTAATCAATGCGTCCTTTCCCAAAACCCATACATAACATACACAAAATCAACACGCACGCACACACGCATAGAAAGAAAGAAAGAAAGAAAGAAAGAAAGAAAGAAAGAAAGAAAGAAACGGGCAATGTAATATATAGATACTGAGAGACAGGTCTGTAAAAAAGCTTAGATAGATAGATAGATAGATAGATAGATAGATAGATAGATGGAGGGAGGGAAGAAAGAAAGAAAAAAAGAAAGAAAGAAAGAAAGAAAGAAAGAAAGAAAGAAAGAAAGAAACGGACAATGATAATATATTGATACTGAGAGACAGGTCTGTACTATCAAGCTGAGATAGATAGATAGATAGATAGATAGATAGATAGATAGATAGATAGATAAATAAATAAATAAATAAATAAATAAATAATCCTGTTTTGACTTAGAATTATAGACATAAATATACGAAAATCCACCTCCTGTTTTGTGTACATGTATATAAATATGTATGTCTTTGCACATAATTGTATATTTACTTAGGCGATACTTTTAATGGTGGCATGTGTGTTAAAGTCGACACAATTCTTTTTCCTGGGGGCGAAAATAAGTAGAAAGTTGGGTTTCAACTGAGTGTTTTTTTTAGTTTTTTTTAGTTCAGCACGACTGTGTGTCTGCAAGGAAGAAGGAACTATTTGGGAAGTGGATCCAGGCCTTTTACGAAGAAAGAGGAACTTTAATAAATGACAGCAGTAAATAGAGATTAAATGGCTCGTGACGCAGGAGAATAAATAGAGTCGGCCATATTTGTCTTCAGAACCGAAGAGCCCTCTTCAAAATTGTTAGCAGCTGGTGTACTTGGTCGACACCCACTGCGTGCAAGATTCTAGAGATTTGCAAATATAAAAGGTCAGTATTATGCGAAGTGTGTTTATATTAATGGTTAAATCTCATTTTTAATAAACATCGTCTTTTTCTTTCGTGTCCTCACTCTCAAAACTTCTTTTCTCTTAATTTCTTCCTTTTCATTTCCCTTACTGCATTTCTCCTTATTTCTCATGTTATTCTCTCTCTTTCTCCCTAACTCTGTGCGGTATCTCTTCTTTCTTCCTTTCTTTCTTTCTTTCTTTATTTATTTATTTCTCACCGGCTCTATTAATTATCACCCTTTCTCGCCTCTTACCTCTCTCTCTCTTTCTCTTTTCCTCTTTCTCTAGTTCTCTCTTTTTTTATGACTCTGTCTCGTACTTTTTCATCAGCTCTTTTGATTTACTACTCGCTCGCATTCATTTTGTCTTATTTTTTTCTGCTCATCTCCCTTTTTTCCCCATTCACGTATACTGTGTATCTATATATGCTTCTCTATTATGGAGATATGAAAATATATATACTATTATATATATATATATATATATATATATATATATATATATATATATATATATATATATGTATATATAGATAGATAGATAGATAGATAGATAGATTTGAATTAGACCAAGAAACAGTTGTATTAAAAAATACTCAAGACATATATAAAAAGATAAAATTTAACATGTAGCGCGTTTAAGTACATAACATTAGGCGATGAGCCGATTCCGCCATCTTGGTTTCAACATGTCAGTATCTTCAGGCGATTTCGGTCAATTGATTTCCTAACGCTTTATTTTTTAAATAAAAATTTTTATGGACGCTATATTTTTAAAAAAAATAGGAAATCAGTTGACTGAAATCGCCTGAAGATACTGAAAGTTTGAAACGAAGGTAGCGAAATCAACTGATCTCCTAATTGTATATATATATATATATATATATATATATATATATATATACGTGTGTGTGTGTTGCTGTGTGCGTATATTGTGTTTTGGCAGCAATCCCTCCTTTATACAAGTTTCATTAAAAACAATTGATAAGGTACTGCAGTTATTTTTTAATTTAATTTTTATTGTACTCTAATAACATTTCTCTTTTCTGGACATAGATTATGTATAAATTGTCCGAATGTTCTGTATGTCCGATACTTTTAGCTATTGCCAAGGATGATTTTATTTAGACTTTTAACTGAATGTATGAAATTATTATGTATGTATCTAGAGTTATAGAAATGTTTTTTTTTTCCAAACACGGTCAGCAGGTTGTGGCCGTGTTCATAATTGATCTTATTGCGTGTTAGGTTTTTTTTAATAATATTATTATTTTAGCCTTTTTACATGTGGATTTGGTCATTATATTTGTATTATCAACGATTATGTTGCGGATATAGTTTGGTAGGTGACCATGTGTATTTCAATGAAACCTAATTGAGCTATAGCCAGAAAGAGGTAACGTGAGACTTCTTGTGAGGTATGTTGTAGCATATCCAATAGAATTATTTATGAATTTGGTTTGATCAAAACACAGTTCCTTAAGTGGGATGTAATATTGGCTCTCTGTAATATTTTCAAATACTAACTGGTGCATTTTATTCTTTTTTCCTCTTCTTTTTTCCCTATTCTCATTCTTTCTCTCCTTCTCAATTTTTCTCACATAATTCTATTACTACCTTCATAACCATGTATTTATTTCTCTCTCTCTCTCTCTCTCTCTCTCTCTCTCTCTCTCTCTGCGTGTGTGTGTGTGTGTGTAGATATGGACATATTTTACCACACTCGAGGATGCCGAATTTAATACGTCGAACAGCTGATTATATTCTATACTATCAAAGGTGTGTGTTGGTGGGCCGTGTTTTTTTTTTTTTTTTTTTTTTCTTCATTCATTGGTCGTATTTTTAAACAACTTATTCACTCACTCGATAATAAAATTGCTTATTCTCTTACGTATACATATACAGGGTGTCCATAATTTTCGTGTGCACTTTAAAACTTTATAACTTTATTTGTATTTGCGATAGAAATAATCTGTAAAAAATGTTATAAAGTTTAATGTACCTAGTTTTAAGTATAGCTAAAATAACTAATGTGATTTCAGGCATTACTGTCAATCAGTTGACAAATGTTTTCCATGATCTATAAAATCGTATTACCCTTTTTATTACTAATGATGGAGGAGATGTGGTAACTTAAATAAAATTTCAATAAAACCTTAAAAAATATAGATTTACTTCTTTCTAATCGTTTTTACAAATTATTTCTATCGCAAATGCAAATAAAGTTATAATTTTTTTAAAGTACACACGAATTTATTGACACCCTGTATACTTAACAAAGACAAAAGGAAAACTAATGTTAGCCGATGCCTTTCGCCCTCTGATGGACCTTATCAAAGCAAATGTAACGATTTTATTTTGAAATAGGTATTTATAAACAGAACTAAAAATATCGTTAGATTTTCAACATTTAAGATTTCGAACCTGTAAGTTAAAATGTTAACTTATAAATATGCTAGAGGCAATCAAAAATCAAGATAAACTATGGATGATTCTAAGTGATGTAACTCAACGTATTTTTACGGATATATTTTTGTTATATCTGGATGTTTCACACGCACACACACACGCACACACACAAACTGAACAGAGATCCTACAACCACACATACTTTGATTATATTGGCAAGGCCTTTTGCAGAACCAAATACACTTTTCGAAAAAAATCAAATACAAAGACTTGGTGCTGATAGTTTTCCACATGGTCACCAAACCACCTTCCTCGACTGGCATATTACATGAGAAGAGGAAGTAGTGTATTCTGACCGAGTTGGGTGTCTATTCGAGCCTGGCTTCTTGTGTACCCGGGAGGTATAACATGGTCTAGCGTAACCACATGTTAAAATAGCGTGATCGAACGACATACTATAAGCTGTGACTCCTGCATTATACATGTTGCGTCCAAACAATCTTTGGAAATATATTGGGTTCTAATTTTCTGAATACCATGATTAAAAGTTGATTTCTAAATTATTGAAGACGAAAAAAAAAAGACACATATAAGATTTTTTCGACCGTACACCGAATCGTTTCTGTACGCCTACTTCTGTGCATGTTATCTTTGCTTTGAATCGAAGATCAATAAACTATTTCTGTTTTCTCGCGCTAACTTAAAGTTATAGATGACGAATTGTCATTGTGCTTTTTTTTTCCTAATTACCGATGTTAAATTAACGATTCTCACAAAAGATAAAAGGGACTAATTAAGTAAAAATACTAATTAAGGAAAAACACGTATGAATGGCAAATTTTAAGATTACGTCTATGAATTTTTATACTGCATGCGTCAGATAATGGAAAATAATTTCATGTGAATTACTTTTCATCATCATAGAGCTGACCCTAAATTCTCAAAAATCAATGAGTGGCAGCAATTATAGGATTCTTTTAACATTTAAGCTCACCCCCATACATCAAAGGAAACATCTTTAAAAACACTAGAAAACGGTCGACTTCTTTGACGGCTCTAGAAATTATTGTCTCTTACTGCCATTCGCTATCTTTATAATAGCCAGATCAGCCAAAAATTGAGTATTGTTGCCATATCTAGGCTGGATCAGCCTGAATCTCTCCTTCCAGCCTTGCGGGTGATGAATTACTTTACACCCTACGACCCTTTTCCCACAGACGCAATGTCGCAAGCCTCTCGCTATTCCACCGTTATTTGTATTCGCTGCTTCGGCCAGTTTAGATATTTACAGTTAAGACCCGTCATTCTATAGACACAGAGGCAAACCAGACACATTCCCTTCTAAAACCATTGGTAAGAAAAATGTTCCATTCGAACAACCTCTTCCCAAGCGTTGCTACTTTATGGAACAGACTCCTGGGAGAATAATTATGCGAAAACTAAAAATTCAACCTCTTCAGGCCTGGTGTCAACCGCTACATTTCGTATGCACCCTTAACATCTGAATTTATTACCACTTACCCTATGCTACGTCCATATAATAACCTCATTTAATAACCATCTATTTTAAGTGGATCTTGGGAATTATATTGGGTGAACATTTAGTAACGAAAAAAATAACAAATATTCAATGTAGAAAAATCACGTGGTAGAGATAAACACTCAGTTGTGGAGCAAGCTAAGTGAATAATAATCCAACCTTTAGAAAGAGAGCTATTTATGTTGCCATGGAGCATCTCATTGTGCTAAAGTGGGATAGTCCATTGCTTGGGCTGTGATTGGCTGCTGGTACCTGAGTGGAGGTATTTCTATATAAATACCAGCTTGATTCATCAGTTAGTTTTCAGGGTTTGTATTAAGTTACAACCTGCTTTATTTTTGTCTGCCAGCTGGACGCTAGCTGGGACCTTTACGCCGGTAAGTGCTGTTTATTATTGTTATTCTACATTCAATAGGAAATATCAATATATTTTTGAAAAAGCAAAACAGAAAATATTTTTATTTTCTAAACACCCAGAGGCTGAATACTGTTCATAATATCCATTATAGGTGCCTTCCAGGGTACTTCGGTGTGGTGCAACGGTTAACCAGTTTTTCTTGCTTGATCAATTGCGACAGTGTCGTGAGTTCGATCCTCACAAGTTTTTCCATACTTTCAGCTTTGTATCACAGCTCATCAGTGTGGCTAGACGTCTGCTTGCCTCTAGCTTGGTTCGAATCACGATTGAGTTGGCGTCAGTCGGAGATTCTACCCCTAATATGTTGGCGCACGGCAGGAATGAATGTTAATTTAAGCGTATTTATTTTTAGATAAACACACAGTGACTGAGAGAACTCAATTCGCTTTACCGAAGAGTTTTGCATTTTTAACTCTAATAGTCATTGTTTACAAACCCACGCTTCATCCCCAGAGAGCTCAACCGAAATAAATTTTTCAGGAGCATATATATATATATATATATATATATATATATATATATATATATATATATATATATGTTGGTATGTATGTATGTATATATAGCTTGTTCGATCGATCAACCGATATATAGATAAATAAATATCGCCTCTTTTTTTTTACGTTTTCTTCGGATTCGCTTTGCCATCGGTCATTATTAACAATTTCTGTTCAAGAGCCGGGAATCACGTTAGTACATACATAGACGTATAAAGTCACACATATTCACAGTCATACGACTGTGCGTTAAGTGTGTCAGTGACAGAGGGGGGGCAAAGAGTGCTGGAACTAGTCAGCCAAATTAAGCTGGTTTCTGGCATTTTGATTTCTGAGCAGATGTCACCCAAAACTTGCATAATAACAACAGAACAATAGATAGATAGATAGATAGATAGATAGATAGATAGATAGATAGATAGATAGATATGAAGAGACTGAAATAGATAGATAGATAGATAGATAGATAGATATACAAAATATACAACATAATCAGCCTGCGAGGGAGTGTTGTCCATGCGTGGTCAATGTGAGATTTTAATGTTGTTTGTTGATTATATATATTGGAGATCAACTTATCACAAACAATTCAGTACCTCAAAAATCAACTCTATGTAAAAAATAATGTTGTTTATTAATTCTCATATTCTTTGCAAGATTGTATCTCTTACTGTAATAATCAACAAACAACATTAAATTCTTACATTGGCTACACATGCATCTCTCTCTCTCTCTCTCTCTCTCTCTCTCTCTCTCTCTCTCTCTCTCTCTCTCTCTCTCTCTCACACACACACACACAGGGTGAATTATTTGGTTAAAAACGTATGAAAGATTTTTTGTTATTTAGAGTCCATGTTTTTATGTTTTTCTTTCCGGTCTATATTTAAATATAAATTTCCCATATCGTAGTAATGTCGACTATCGGTGGACATTATATCGGTTTCTTCATTTTCAAATATCGCGTTTTCACGTGTTTACCTGTCTGTTCGTGTCGTCCTTCTGACATTTTTTTGTGTTTTTATTAGAATATATATTCTTAAATTTTATGTCATTTTATCTAGGTTGTGCTGTTTGTTTTTTTATGCTTAATGTTTGTCATATTTGTAATCATTTGTTGCAGTCTATGTCATATCAAGCCTTTGCGCTCTTGCTAAGAATTTGCGGATATTGCGTGTGATTGTGAGTAAGAGAGCGCCAGAAAAGACAGACGGCTAATTTTAATTTACAATTTGGAAACGAGGCAGTGCCTAGACAGCAAATTAATTCTTTACTATCGGACAAAGGCAACTGAGAAGTAGCGGTTCATTTGTATTTATCGGTTCATTGTCTTTTTGTATCTGGGTTGATTATTCGACACTTGATATCCTTCACTTGCAGTTCCCAGTTGAATTGTTACCGTTTTTTGCATACTTTTTAAAAATTTTATTCGCCTACATGTTCCGTCAGTATTTTTTTCTGTGATTATAAATAGAAAATTTTAATGTTTTTTTTCTAACGTGCTGATTATGTTGAGAGTGAAAACGCGATATTTGAAAATGAAGAAACCGATATAATGTCCACCGATAGTCGACATTACTACGATATGGGAAATTTATATTTAAATATAGACCGGAAAGAAAAACATAAAAACATGATTTTGCAATTTGATTAACCAATGATTGGTTAATCAAATTGCAAAATCAAATCGCGCTATAGAATTTTTTTTCAGCTCAATTATAAAGTTGCATTAATGTTATTTGTACTTAAGATGAAGAACCCATAATACCTTTCATATAGCAATGTATAGTGTTTTAATTAGAAAAAGTAATATAGGTTTAGGTCTTGAAATCCTGCTCAGCAGTGAAGAAACAAAATTCCCGAAAAGAGCTTAAATTTTACATGTGTCCAACTTCGATTACTTTTGGGGGGATTTGTTAGTGCCAAAATGCCCCCCCAAAAAAAAACAACATATCGTATGTATAAATGTCTAAATCATGATGTTCTTATAAATGTAAGTAAATTTATGTCAAAAAGTGATATTTCGTGGCCGTCATATGGTGCAGAACACAAGTAATAATCAATTTAACGTATAAAAGGATATGAATATTTTTTTAAAATATCATCGCGAGTGTAAGTTTTACATTTTATGTGATGTAATGAATATGCATGCACCTAGGTTCCCCCTCACAGTAATATGATTGGCTGGTGTCAGCCATAAATACAGACTGATGTGGAATTACAGGGAGTACGCCTATTGCCTACGCCTGTTGCCTACCACTACGACGAGGACCAGTCCATTACGGTTACCTGCTAGATTTGTCTTACTCGGTTACAGTAGTCCAAAATCACTTTGCTACTTCGAACAAATATATCCCTTTTCGGGACATATCACTACGTATTCAATTTTTTTAATATTTGAGAACTTGGACTAAAAAGGAGAAAATCTTTTTTGTCAGCTTTATTCAAAGGCGAAACTTTGTGTTGTAATTTCACCAAATCAATTTGACGAAGGCCATTTTTGAAAAAGATTTATAAACGTTATAACATTAATTTCAACAGAATTCCATTGACTTCCCTAGCAGAAATGATCATTAAAAATAAATGAATCTATGTGTGTGTTTATATTAACTTAAAGCTGTAATAATTTCAGAAAGTTAGTACAAATTCAGACCAGTTTTGAACTCCTGAGACTGACTACTTTCAGACCAGATCTTGTACATGCGAAATGTTTAAAAAATGCCAAATTTTCGCTTACGAGTCCATTGTGAATTGGTTAAGCATCGTTTCTAATATTAGGATCAGCGATGTAAAGTATAGAGATAATTGACGAATATCACATTAATAGTCACAATTGTATTTATAGCCAAACAAAAACTACCAACGTAAAACATTCTTTTCTCTATGCCCCCACCCAGGCTGTAGAGTTCCAGCCACGCTGGACACACCGGTCCTCGTTACATGACTAAAATTAAGCAGTGAGTACTTAGATTGGGGGCCGCTGGGGAACACATTAGTAAAAGCAGCCTCTTTCAATCCTAAATATATTTCAGTTTTAATCACCCGCAAAGGATTGATACACCGGAAAAATTATATCACTCCGGATAAAGGTGATCACAGTTCTCCACAACATCCTATCTATTGCCGACCTATATTTATCTTTTTAATAATTCTTCCGTCATCCATTAAATGAAATTTGTAAAACAAATTACTAGCTGTATTTCTATGCTCCTCTTGTCATCAATTTGCCCTGTAGGATTTTAATTCACTAAGCCTTCTTTCCTCATTATGCATCCAAAAAACATCAACTAACTCTTTTTTAGAAAATGCAAAGAAATTCCTAGAATGTTATAATTCTGTAGATACTTTAGCAACGCATGAATATCAATAATTATTTTCCATGATTCAGACGTCAGATTAAGTTTTAGTTAGATGGCAATGATCTAAATGGAAGAAGTGGTCAGCGTATATCTATCGCCACATTGCCATATCTGAAATTTTAGTCTCATATTTTTCTCTGTAAGCTATTATAGACATCTGTCAGTCGCTGTAGCCGTCATAGTTTGACTTCACTAGGAGCGGGTTAGTGGGTCTTTCCCATCTGTTGTCGGTATACTAATTACAGACAAAGTCTCTGGAGGACAGCTATTACTGTGTAAATATAAGAATCTGATTATTGCCATGAATTTTGAAATCTTCTCATACATTTCTGTGGCAATGAATGGTCTCTGATAAAGAACCCCTAGCGGGGAGTGATGAGTGGCGTAATTAAAAGTAAGTAGTAATTAGTTGTGAAGAACGTAGACTGAGTTGGTGGCAGAGAATGAAACGCGGGAAGTCTCGTTGTAATAACAATTGGTTGCTCACTCAAGAGAAATCTGGTCGAGTATTATCTTGACAGAATATTTGTGTCTTTACTCTTAGTTCGTTCAAGACGCTGCCGTCATTCAGTCGAAAAGTTGTATTTCAATTACTTGATTCTGCGCAAAAATCTTGGAGTGGATGACTCCCGTTAAATTCTACTATATACGTATCATCGTCATCTTTAGTACAGTTAATCATAGCTCATGTTGCTTGCGGCACAATATCTTGCATTTCACTTTGTTTTAAATTATCTACATTTCATCGTCCATTTTTTATGCGAGTTACATATAAGAGATACTAAAGTAATCAAGACGGTATTAACATTTGATTTGCAGATGTTAATTATGATGATGATCATGTCCCCGAAAATGTTCACATTTGATTGCAATACAGCTTAACTGGACTAATCACTCATATTTGTCTCTGTAAGCTATGATAGATCTTTATCAGTCATTGTAGTTGTCATGGTTGAATTCACTAGGAAATATTCAGAGGAGCATTTTTAACTGTTGTCTGTATACTGTCAAGACCTTTAGAAGACAGATATTACTGTGTAAATATAATTATCTGATATTTAGCCTTGAATGTTGAAGTTTACCTTGTTCTTTGAGAAACTTCCAATTGAAACCTTCCAAAGCTAATTTCGATCATTCATAATACCTTATTCTTCGATATTAAGAATCTTTCTGTGCGTTTTAGATGCATTCTAGCCTTCATAAAATAAAATAATATACTGAAAATGTTGTTTATTCCCTCGAAAGAAAGAAAAAGTACACCAAATTTAATATTTTTAAGATTGCAAACTGATTAACATTTTTCACTGGGCAATCAAAAGCAAGCTTATATGAAGACAGTTAATTTTTTTTAATTATTTCTGAATGAACTATCCTGGGTACTACGTTGTTTCTGATCTTTACAATGTTCTCCCCGATGTCATAAGTTTCCGACTAAGCCTTTAGTCAGATGACACAACTATTTATTCCTGTCTTAGCAGCAAATCCAACAGATCTGACAAAGTAAACCTGACAGCTGTTCTTTAAAAGAACCCCCAATCAGTGGCTAAATTGGACAAGAAATGGCTTGTAAAACAAAACTGTTTTCATTTATCCACCATAGAGAGCATATTCTGCCTGCCATCAACATGGTTGAGACTAGACTCCTGGAGAGCAGCACACTGGGACTTCTTGGCCACAGGTTTTACACTGACTTGAAGTGCAGCGACTATATCGAGTCAATAACTGTATCAAATGCAATGAAATTCGGTCACTAAAAATTTTTCTTGTCAGAGTTCATCTTGCACATTTTCAAATCTACCATTCACACATGCATTGAATACTGCTGCCATATCTGGTCTGGTGCTTCTGCTATTCATCTCGAGGTCCCTGACAAAATCCAAAGAAGGATCGGTGATGTAATCAATCCTAACTAGGCGTCTCGACTTTAGTTACTTTCTTAGCGACGTGACGTGTCTTCTCTCTTTGTTTTCTACAAATCATTTCATAGCAACTGCTCTGGCAAGCTTTTACTCTGGTGACCAAACTACATAAATTTAAGCGTTCTACTAGATTGGCATCTATGTTCCACAATTTACTGTTGAATCAGCTAAATGCAACTGCCACTTCTACTTCAATAGTTTCTTTTTTGCACTTCACGTCGGTGGAACTCCCTTCCGTTTACT